AAAAAGACTCCCTTACGTGGGGCGAATTTTTAATAACCCAGTGATTTAATAAACTAATTCATTGTTTTGGATGCACACCCTCATGATTTTAAAACTTAATCCTTGAACACCTTTCCACCTAACAGTAACAGTACAGTATTTGTTACAGTTCAGGACATTTCTTTTCCGTTTTAGACTGTAACAAGCACATCTGATGTGTTCTTTATTTCAGATTTTGATTTCAAATTTTTGCAAAAAAGTATAATTAGCTACTTTTTATCTGTCACCTACCTGACTATGAAAACTACTTAACTAATGAAGTTAAATACTTTTTTTATGAACAGTTATAAAGACTTCTGTAAAAATGCCTGTGTTTTGATGGCCAAGCTGAATCAAGGATTCAGTATATAGTATCCAAGCAATGCCAGTTCATCTGACAAAACGTTTGTGGTTATTTGAAGTCGCTGACTGCTGATGTGAGTATCTCTAAATCTTTTAAGTTAAGAAGACCATCATCAGTCAGGATGCAATTTATTTTGTCTAGTTTCATATGAGAGCTGAAGGTGTTTATTGTTTCATTTAATCATGCCTTTCAACTGAAAATTCCCTCTGTGATTATTTTTAAAATTGCATATGTGGCTATAGAATCTTGCACAAAATATATTTTGTACTTTCTTACCCACAGGACACTTATCCTTCTATGACCCCTCCCCTCATTCAACAAATGAATTGATCAATGTTGTTCACTTGCACGTTCAAGGGCAGAAATCAGACTTCAACATTGTATTTTTTTGGGGGGGGGGGGATATGGCAACATGCATGCAGCTGCCACGCAAACTCCCATTTCACAGGGTTTTTCACAGGTTCTGACCCGTGAAAAATGCCCTGATCACAGGTTTTGAGATTTTCTACCCCGCGACCAGAAACATTGTATACACTTGAAGATTGTTGTAATGTAAATAAGTAGCAGTGCACATGCAAAGGACAGAACTTTGTTGTCATAAAAATTATAGTTAATTTGTGCATCACACTTATTCCCACCCAATCTGTGTAGATATTATATAAGTACTGCAGTGGTTTAATTTTAATAACAAGAACTTCAAACTAACCTTAATGATTAAGTTAATAGTTGAATACAGCTGTACTCTTGAGGTGCAGGTTGTACACCAGGGAAATTAAATGATATACATGCATTAAAACAGTTTCTGAGATAATTTTAATTCAAGTTCCCATTTCATTTCAGGCTGTGTATTTGCACAATTCCCCCTACAAAAAGAGGAAACACTGGATCAAGAGTGAGGAAAACTAGAAAAAGTATTTACAACAAGTGCTGTGGCTTTAGGCATGGAAGATACAAGACTCCCAATGTAAAGCAAAAAAAATGGACTTACAGAGACAAGCAGCTCAAAGTTTGCAGATCAGAGTATTGACAGTGGTTCAACAGATGTGTTGTTTATCAAACATTTGTGACTAACATTACATTTTGACATTAGCAGAGGACACAGGATTTGTTAAACTTTACTAAGACAGCAGTTAAATTGATTAAGGTATCAGCCACCCTTAAAATTGCCATTTTTCCATATTTGAGGTTTCAACGTTTTCAAATAGATATGCTTGAGAGCTTTCTTTCAAAAAAAAATCAGAAGAAAATATTATTTCTGTCGAAAGATATCGGTGGTAAAAGATTTTTTCTCGTTAATATCTTAATTGATCGTTGACAAGATCTGTCATACCCATGTCATATCAATTAACTTGCCTGTGAACTAGTAACGTGATTCCTAGTGCGTGATTGGACACAACACGTGCGAATTGTCTTCGCGTTGTTTATAGCCTTTAGTATTCTCCGTGGATATTTAGCGTTTGCTTCGGTGAAAATGCCGTCAAGAAAAACGAAAAGGTCGTGTCCGTTTTCCGAAAAAGAAATCGAATGGGCCGCAAAATTTTATCAGCAAGAGAAGTGGCTCGAGGAGTTGGATATTCAGAAAAGCGAAAATGCTGCAGTTGCTGAGAGTGCAAGCCGCTCCAAAATCCAGCTTGAAGAGCCAGATGAAGAAAGCCAATTAAGCTCATCGACCCCATCTGCTGATGGAACGTGGAAAACAATAAACGGTCGAGCTATCGTATCGAGAGAAAAGCTGCTTGAGAAACTGGACGAGTCTGTATCTTGTCGATTTTGCCGGGGAAGAGTCCAAGTCATGGAAAATGTAGCGACTAAGCATGGACTTGGTTCTACCTGGAGAATCCAGCGCGAGAATGAAAGCTGTCCGTCACACAAGACAAATTCTGTTTTTAATTCTTCCGAGAAGAGCAGAGCGTTTGAAATAAACCGGACCTCAGTTCTTGGCCTTCAAGCAATCGGTGGTGGACATTCGGCGGCTTCAAAATTTTTTAGTTTCCTTGGCCTGGCGCCGATCAACAAATCATACAAAAAAGATCGAAGGAGAGGCAAAACTTTTGCTCGAGAAAGAATTAAACCGTGCTTCTCGTGTTGTAAAAGAGTGGAAGTTTTCCTGTTACATGTTGCCTGTCAAGTCCCATTGTTAGAGAAAATTGATCCCTCTCTGATATCAATCCGAATAAACATTTAGGTGTTATAATCTCATTCCAGGTAGGATGCCGCCAAAAATGTATTTTCTTTTTTATCTCCGAACGCAAATTTTGCCGATCGACTCGTACGTTTTGAACTCCAAGTCGGCAGCCTTTCAATCAATTTGGCTAAAAGTTGGCTAGAGTGATGCCATATATCTCTTCTACAAAACCGTGCCTGCGAATTTTAATGCTCCTTTTCATTTTAAAGCTAGAGCTTTTTTTCCACAGGGAGTGTTGACTAATTGCCTTCCCCAACTTCATTTGCTAATAAAAGAAAAACAAACGCACTTGTCAAAAATCTGAGACACGGTTTTTTAGTGGAACATGTTGAGAAGCAAATGCGGTGTTAATTGTTTTCTTCCGTTTATTTCCGGCGGGAGTGGAACATGATTTATAGAGACGTGTACGTTTACACAAAGCGTTCCAATTTCGAAACACATTTAAGTAAATCTTTTTTGTTAGTTCAAATCCATAATCTGGAATTATTAAGCTTTTAAAAAATATATGGTTTATAGGGGTTTTTATAAAAACAACTAACGCTACAGCGATCCACGCGCGGACGGTCCTGAAGGGTGGCTGATACCTTAATAAAAAAAATAAATTGAACCAAAGTTCTGAATAGTTGTTTGGCTGTATTTCTGGTAAAATTTAGCAGCTCAATCCTCAAGCAGTGTCCCCTGCATTTTAATAACACTCAAACATTTAATGTAAAATCATTTAATCAAAAGGTATTAAAATCACACCTCGTTGAATCCAAGAAAGAAGTGTGACAAAGTGTGAAAAAGATGTGAGATTTTACTAAAATCACACATTTATAAGTGCGATCACACGTGATCACACTTTATAAAAATTTGTGTGATTCACACTTTTAAATCACACATGTTCACACTTCTTATCACACTTCTTAGAAGTGTGATTTGAAGTGTGAAAAAGTGTGATTTTAAAGTGTGAATCACACTTCTAATAAAAAATCACACTTGTGATCACACATGTGACCACACGTAAAATCACACATGTGATCACACATTTTTTTTGCATGGGATAGATATATTTTCTCACCGCAAATAGAAAGAAAACGTTCCGAAGAATATTTAGTTATAAATTTGGCTGTAAAAAGAAAACTTTGAGCGATTTTCTTGCCTCGAGTTCATCTTTGAAAAAAGCAAGCACCAGGAGGCCGGCTTAAAACATAAACTTCAGCTTTACGCTTAAAGACTCAGGGTTTTTAGAAACACTTTAATACTTGTCTTCGTAAATGAAAATTGTTGTCTCTGTAAATGTTTCACCAAATTATATTTCTTTTATTGATTGTTAGTAGTCCCTCTGATCTTGTAATTTTCATCGCTGTGCCGTTTGTTTTCAGTTGTTCATGAACATCACTTGCAGGAGTACTCAAAATGCCACCTGTAGCAAACGCTTCTTAAGATTACACATCGTTATAAAACCATTAAGTAAAAAAATAAATATAATAAATTCTTTATTATGTTGAAGCGTAACTCTATTAAAGTTCATTCAAACACTCGAGCACAGCTCGCACTGCAAATTTGGCGCTTGTCAAAAGTGAGAACCGGCTTGCCGTATAGGTGATTTTGGACATTTTTCAACTGGCTTCACTAATTAAGCCCACGATTGATTATCCTGAATATTTGTCTTGAAAAATTGTGAAATACTGTATTCTGTCCGAGGTCTGTATGATAAATAGTATTGTTTCACCCCAGATGTGATGCATAAAAGGTATAAAAGGTTGGCTTACACACCCTCAGATTTGTTGGCAAGATTTTGTAAAGTAAACTTGTCAAACTCCTGACCTGGCCTGATTTGTTTTCCAAGAATTTGTTTTTGAGGCCTAATCTACTATGATCAAGAGCCATTATGGCTCTTGAATGTGATCGAATATGATTGCTAGTTTTTGGGTGTACATAAATGGCTATCAACTCAATGCAAGATTTTTTACTGTAAAATCACTTAGCCTTTCCCTTAAAAGTCACATGAATGTGCCTTTAAGTTAACTGATATGTGGATTACAAGTTTATTGTTTGATTTTAATCATAAATTTATTAATGGGAGCTTCGCTTTTAGCCCTGGCTAAATCTGTATCTTAGCAGTAAGGTGTCTTCCGTCAAGTGGTATTTTGTTTATTTCCGGGGGGCACTCCCTTATTTGGCCTATACAGGTATGTGCTGAACAGGGTATGGTTTTCAGGGTCTTGAATGTTAATCGGGGTATATAATTTCACTATTGAGCGTCTTAAACAGGGTGTCTTTTTAGACCCGAAGCCTTAAAGAGGATGTGAATTTTGGCGGTGTATGGTCGACATGTGTAACGAAGTTTTTTAAAAATCACCTAATTTTGTTTTGTCAGTAATCTGAAAAAAATCTTTTTGTATGTGACTCCAAAACAAATGCAATAAATATATTTTTCCCCATTTTGTGATGTATTTTATACTAACTAAAAAGAAGAAGCTTGATGGAACGCTTCTGTCTCACACAACGAATCTAAATGCCTTTGTGTTAGCTCCCGCTGTACGAATTTGTTGAGTCAGAGCACTGAAAGAGAGAAAATATAAACTTTCGGCTGCCATTTTTGGCGTCCGGGACGCCAACGCTCTCGTTGCTTAAGGTCCCTTTTGTTGTCATATATGTTTTAGGTAGGACACGACAGCTGTTCAGGACAGTGCATACCTGTACAATGTGACCATGGAAATGACGATGAAGTCCAAAAGCTGTTTGATAAAGTTAGCAAAGAACAAAATGGACGATTGGATATACTTGTCAACAATGCTTGCACAGGATGGAAGGTAGGATGTGTAAGCAGCAGTAGCTGTAGTAGTTAAAGGTTCAGCCCTGGGAAACAGATGTAGCTTTGTTTATAGGCTGCTCGTGGATGGCCGAAAGGTACAGTCAAGGCGCTCTTAACTGGCATTCCCATGGGATACTTTGGATTTCAAGTAACGGGGATCATCGAAGGATATTTTAGGGTTTGAAATTTTCGATTTGGGATTTTTTTGTCTGAAAATTTAGCAAGGATTATTATTATTATTTATTTTTGGGGGGGGGATGGGGGAGGAGGGTGGCTAGCCTGCGTCGCAGACTTAATTTAACCTCGGTAGGTAACGTGTGCGAAGTAGCGCCGAAATCCTTGTTCTGGGCCCCCAACGGACTCAACCAATCACTGGAAATGGATTTCGAATTTCCTTTCATCCTGATTGGCCAGTCGACAATGGTTTTTTAACAGGCCAATGACATGGCGCGTACTCAAATCCAGGTACACAGGTGGGGGCCGAGAACAAAGATTTCGGCGCTGTTTCGCAGACGGACTTAGTTTCGTCTGTTGCGTAGGCTAGGGGGGTGGCGTTATTTTAGTGGCGATTTTTGGGGGGTATTCAACGCAATGTGAAGATTCTTGGTAGTACACATTGTACCAGCGTTTCCCGGCCGCGTAGTTCTGCGAATAAAGTACAACCAAAGTTGTTTTGAAGATAACTTCAAATGGTATGAGGAATAAACAATCACAAACATTCATTTCTGTTAGTGGTGTAGTTTACACAAACTCTGGTCTATATACATGTAACGTTAATTTTAACGTTTTAAATTTTGTTATGGTCCAGGCAATATCGGAAAATGCTGAAAAACCATTTTATGAACAGGTAAGGTCCTCAATTTATATTTTGATGTTGAAAAATTCTGCTCTCTCAAATAGTATGTTGTTATATAAACATCTGAATCATCATACACGTTTTATAATTTGAACAGATGCTTTCTTGCTCTTTGTTGATAGAAAGGTAATGTGAGTCATGATAGATCCTTAGTGTCCAAAGTCAATGCTTCGGTTGTAATATTTTCCAATCGAATATTGGGTAGTCATCAAAATTTCCGATTATAAGTTTTAATTTATAGTCTTACTGGTATTGTCCCTGTAGTTGTTCAATCAGTGTCTGGAAGAGGGTTCTGATCAGGCAACCCCGCTTCTCTTTTCAAGATCTCGCATCCCGAACTTCTGTCATCTCTATCCCGAAAACTCGTTGTCCTTCTCAGTTTCGCATCCCGTGCCAAGATTTTAGCGAATCCCGCGTTCCGACTAGTGGTCCTGAAATCCCGTATCCCGTCAAGAAATTTGGCGTTTTCCCTAATCCCGCATTATATTTCGGTGAAATCTCGGATCCCGAGAGATCCTTTTCAATAAGACTGACCATTGTAAAGTACTCTGCGATATTTGCGTACATTTTGATTCTCTCCTAAATTTGTTTCTTTTCGTGAGCTGTTTTCTTTCCTTCTCATGAGTGCGTTCAGAGGGAGGTAGACAGTAGCACAGCTTGTATATTGTTTACTTAAAGAAATAATCTGTCAGGGATAATCAATCTTTAAACAATCAATAGATGTTTTCAAGTTGTATGTCTTGTTTTCCCATTTTAGATCACGTGATGGTGCCCCAGGAAACTCTGTCTTTCAATTGTTGTCCTATCCACGTGCACATGTATGCATAACTTGTGAAATTTCCTTGGGAACATCACGTGGTGTGAATTGGGAAAACAAAACATACGAGCTAAAAAGGTCTATTGTCTCGACTGAGAACGTAAATTTTAAGGATGCGGCGAAGGCGTTCGGGTTAGGAGAGAATGACCCTCTCTGAGCCTTACGCCTCTTCCTCTATGCACACAAACTAATTTTATTTCTGACTACACTCCGGTTTGGCCCATTGTTTGGTCACAGTTAACATAGCGTACTTGTTTTTGAGTTTTAGCCTTTAAACGTGTGGGATGAAGTTAACAATGTGGGGCTTAGGTAAGAAAATTGATTCATGTTATCTCGGTATGTAGAGAAGGAACAGGCTGTAGCAGGGATTGTATAGAGCGTTTTCACATGACGTCCCGGCGGCCATATCGGTGTCCCAAACCAATCCTGTGGGAGTTGAACTTTTTCTCGTGTAAAACTTTTCTTCTGTTCCACCAAATTTACACAGTTGCATGCTGACCACGTAAGTCAAAAGGCTGTATATTTTCTGAGTTTATAAATGACCGTTTTTTTCCTCTGAAATCATCGAGACGTTGCAGTCAATCTGAAACATTAAATGCTTAAGGCCGATGAATATTGGCATTTCATAAAGGAAAACAAGAAATAGTCTTTTCGGTCTTCGTAATATCAAAATTTTCGGTGTCAACTTGCTTTCTTTTCTAACGGAGAAGAGATCTTTATCGCACTGATACTCACGGGGCGGATGTCAGACTCATAGCAGCTCGTAGACTTTAATTACAAAAAACTAACCGTTGTTAAATGGTCTTCAACATTTATTAACCGTGATTCACCAAGCTGAGCACTTGGAGATGAAAGATTTTTAGAATGTTTCCTATCACTGTCGTCCTTTTTGTCCCTTTTCTCCCTCCAGGTCTAATTACATTGCTGCGTGGCATGCAGCTAGGATGATGGTTCCAGCCAAACAGGGACTCATAATCAACGTTTCATCGATAGGAGGATTGACATATCTCTTTAACGTTGCATACGGCATTGGAAAAGCTGCAGTACGTGCAACTTACTATAGACTTCAAAATGAAATAGAAGTGTGTGTGTGTGTGTGTTTTTTTTCGTGTGGCTGTGTGTGTAGGCATTCACGAAATGTCGTTGGCTTAAAATAACGACACTTGCGTCTCCACTGAGTTGTAGAACAGTCACTAAAAAGTCTATGCTCTTTCTTTAGCTAGTTGGAATAACCCTTACGTTTCTCTAAGTTAACTTTTAACAACCTCGTCTCCTCTGCCCTTCTTGTCTTTTTAACGGCAAAGGAGAGAGGCCCTGGGAACGAGGTTGACTCTTTGACTCACGGCTCTTCCAATGCGGGTCGGAAATATTGACGGGGGAATCTGGTTTTACACACTTATATCCTAAAACACAAGCAAGTATGGTTAAGTGAGTATATCAGATTTTATAACATAACAAAGTAAAGCGCGCGCTCTGATTGGTCAGGCAGCCATCTACCATTTGCCCGTTGTTGCACGCAAAGAAAAGCTAGCGCGGTAAAATTGAGGCAATTTCAGCAAATCTCCTCTCCAATGCGGATTGAAATGCACCGATGAAATATACAAACGAAAAGTTGAAGTTGAAGAAAATTCTCAGTTGTCGTTTTGAAGGAAAGTTAAAAGATCAAGGGACAAATTTGCCTTGGGGAATGAAATTCATCATTGTTTTCTTCGAGGCTGGGAGCTCAGAAGAACATTCGAAATTTAAGGTACATTTTGTGTGTTTTTATAATAGAGAAAATTCTGTTTTGAAATGGCAGAACGGTCGTAAGACAACAGCATCTAAATTGCTCACACATCGCATCAGCACCGGTTTTGTCAGCGAATTTTTGCAATTTTGACTTCCAGATCGATTTCTCCGGAAAAATTTCGATACGAAACTAGCCAATTTCTTTTAAAATTATTCTAAAGGAAATACAGTCAATTTTTCTTATTTCTACTTTATGTTTATTGCACAAATTGTCATACAATTATCTTTTTCCTGACATGGTTCTTGAGGTGGTGTTTACAGTTGCAATATTAAGAACAAGTAGACATCAGACGCCATGCCATTCAGAATAACAACAAAAAACGTTTTGCAATTTACCTTAAAACGGAGAACGGTTGACTCAGCGAAAGAAAAACTCAAAGGCAAGTTTTTGAAAGGCACGATTTGTTTCGGCGCAGGCAGATGACAGCGTACATCAACTCGTCTACGGTACCGATGACTGATTCAACGGAAGGCAAATGGAAATGTTTTCTCTTTTGATTATGTTATAAAAGAAATGGTAAACATCGCAGCTGTGTAACATTCGAGTTATGGATGCACTTGGGAGGTAAATAAATTGCTAAGCAGTCAAGAAGCTAGCAATGCTCTAGGCGTAAATTTTTCGTGCTTAGCAACCTCTCGCGTACATCCATAACTCGATGGTTGCACGCTGCACGTTTACCATTATTTTCTTAATGATTGGAATATTTCCATTTTCATATTGAAACATGTTCTACAGAATTTGGTGCTTTGGTGACCACTTGCTGCTGAAGACGCTTAGTGATGACTATCACAAAAGCCTGCATTCTTAGACATTGTTCTTAAACCTTGTAAAATACACAGACGAACGTCCCATAATGCCATGAGCGCCCAATCATACGAAATTCGAACCACAGTAGGTCTCGTCTGAGTAAAAGCTTCAACACATCTACTTTTTGCAAGAAAATTTATTCCATGCAACTTCTAAATTATGTATACGTGTAGTTCCATGTTGTGTTTGAAAGTTCTTCGTATATACGCTGAATGGCGTAGTGTATACAGCGAACAAAGAGACCACACCATGCGTCACGTGTTCGCTTACAAGAGGTTAAAAACAATTTGGAAAACTGTAAAACTGTCAGACCAGAAACGAGAGTTCTTATAATAAGACTTTGACTGGAAAAAATTTAATATTTTAGACAGCGGTCGCTTATAAGACGTGGTTGCTTATGACGAAAGGTTGTCGCACATGGAGTTTCAACTGCAAACGTGTATCAGTAGGCGCTGTCTCCGTCTCCAAAATGAAATAGAAGTGTGTGTGTGTGTTTTGTTTTTCGTGTGGTTGTGTGTGTAGCTATTCACGAAATGCCGTTGGCTTAACTTAACGACACTTGCGTCTCCACTGAGCTGTAGAACAGTCACTAAAAAGTCTGCGCTCTTTCTTTATAATTAGCTAGTTGGAATAACCCTTAAGTTTCTCTAAGTTTACTTTTAACAACCTCGTCTCCTCTGCCCCTCTTATGAGACTTCTTATGATAAGACTTTGAGACGTGGTTGCTTATGACGAAAGGTTGTCGCACGTGGAGTTTCGACTGCAAACGTGTATCAGTAGACGCTGTCTTCGGAGTTCTTGAAATCTCCAAATTTCTAGAGCTTTCTGCTGAAAGCTAAAGACGTTTCTCGGCCTTTTGTCTTTTTCAAAATCTCAGTGGACATTCATTGACTACTACCTACTTTTTAAAGGCGCATGTTTTTGAGATCACCTTGACTGTATTTAAAACTTTATTTGCATTCCTGTTTTTCTTAGAATGATCGAATGGCCGCGGACATGGCTGTGGAGCTGAGGAAAGAGAATGTGGCCAGTGTGTCGCTTTGGCCTGGAGCTGTGATGACTGAAAATGAAAAAGACTTTTTAAGTAATCCACAAGATGAGAGGGTAATAATCAGACTTGATTTACTACGGTACAAAACGCTCAGCTAAAGAAACAACAACGTCAAAAAACAAGCAAGGGGTGCCAAAGAGTTTCTTTTATTGGCGCAACATTGTAAGTTTGAAATTTAAGTGTTTTTTAGCGCCCGCTATCGATCGTGTTGGACTCGAGTCATTACTTGAAAGGCCGTCCACTTCTTACTCCCACTGTTTTACTGAAAAATGTGAAATCGACTGCCGGCTTCCTTAACTTATCGCATCCTCACCAGGGTCCGTTTACCAGACGTTTCGTGGTGACCCAGCCAGGGCTCATGGCTGCTGTAGCGGTCATATGGGTCAAAACCACAAAATCCTTCTTCCCACCCCGTACTTTCAGTACCTGTTCCCTCCCGTCAAGTTGTCGAAGAGGAGTTGAAATTTTGGGGACTTTTTTATATGTTGTTGTTCTCTGTTGTTCCTTTACATGTTATGGTTTTATGAATCAAAAGAAGACAAATATTTTGTTTACTGACGGGTTGAAGGGGATGAAGGATGAAGGTGTTGTCAAGTACACACGCTATTGCGTTTGCAAAGCAAGATTTCTCGACTCAATTTTTCGCTGAATTAGTAGTTTTCCTTCTCAAATGTGGATTGCAGAACCTTTTTGGTTGTCCTGAGTTATTTTGGTGCAGTTGGTCTCGATAGTAAGATAAAAAATTAAGCGAAGGCTGCATGACTTAAGAGAACTCCTGTATTAAGCGGACATCAGGGAGAGTGCCCAAAAATCATAAAAAGCCTTCATAGCCAATAACATCACGGCTTAACTGACAGGCAACCAATAACATCGCGACTTAATTGACCAATCAGGTCAATAACCAGAGTTTGATACCATCAACTGAGGTGATGCAACTCACTTTGACTCTGAAGATGACTACCGCACAGGTTGTCGAAACCTCAGTCACTGTCAACAACAGTGCTATTCAGGACTACGCGAAACCCGAATTAATTAAAATAATTCATTCATAAAAATAAACAAAACTAAAATGTGTGTTTTTTACTCTGCAGTCAAGGAAGGCAGCTGCGCTTTTCAAAGATGCTGAGGATCCAACATTTTCAGGCAAGGCCGTGGCTTGGTTGGCCGCAGGTATTGGTACAGTCAATAGGGACCTTTAGCATCAGGTTTTTCGTGGGAAACGGCAAACCGCAAAATGTCACGTGACCACGACCTTGCGGTCACGTTTGCAGTTTGCAGTTCACGTTTGAACCGCAGGAAGGGCTTCCAGCGGTAAGTGATTTACGGCAAGGTTTTTTGCCACAAAAAATTGTACAGCCTCGCGTTTAAAAGTATGAACTAGCTTTTTGTATCCGTTTGCGATGTGTTTGTTGGATTTTTGATCTCGAATCAATGAATTATTGCTGAGTTTTGGGCGATTAAAGTGATGCACTTCGACTTGATGAAAACAACATGGCGGCCCTAAACAATGAACGCGTAGTTCAAATCAATTTTATATTCCTTTCTGCCGTACTAACAAAGGAAAGTATTCTGTTCCAATCCAGAGTTAACTTTTTTTTCTATCTTGTTTCTGAATTCATAACTTAACTCAGTCTCTGTTTGGTTCCTATTTTTAACGTATCACTCCGCGAATATCATTTTATTTTGCTTATCTCTTTTAGACTGGGGAGCCCAGGCTTCATAAAGCCTTCTGGTTTCTTCGGGCTCCCTTGCAACCTTAAAATTCCTATACGTATTCTTGTATTGTATTGTATTTTGGCTAAATAAAAATGAACTGAACTGAACGCCTTGCTAAAGTTTGAAATCTCGGCAACGCGAAACTGCAAACGCGTAACTGCGGTTTGCGGTTTACCTGATGCTAAAGGTCTCTAATACCCATGATGTTCAAAATCAACGCAAAATGCTATGATACATAATATTATAATCCTGGGCGAACTGTAAGCAGAGCGTATAATTAGCAATTATTTGTTGAGGCTGAGTATGATCTGATGAATTCTGGAGATCGAGAAGGTTAGTTAGAAGTTCGGCTATTTTTTTCTTTGCAAAATGGATGAAATTTTCTGTCATGTTCTCCAGCTCTACCAAAACAGCTGAGCTAATGCACCTTCGTCCCCAGGGCTTCTCGGTTGCCGTCCATTTTTCTGTCGATATTCTGTACTATTGACGTCATTTTACTGGATATCGGAAACGTCTTTCAAATTTGATCAATGCAAGCTGGCTATAAAAGAATTAGCTGGGGAATTTGAGTCCACCAGATAAACATTTTGAATAATTCTGTTTGTGCTATCAGAAGCATATAACCCCGAAGCGTCTAAATTCCCCTTATCTGTTTAGAACCATGCTCGGGTTTCTTAGCCGACGCAGCCGTCCAATCAGAAGTACGGAAAATTATTTTGCCCAAATATGGAATCAGAGAATTCAAGCTTTGAGTTTGCAACGCGTATACATGTATGTCTACAAGCCTGTCTACAACCGAAAGAAATCGTTTCGTGGCATAAAAGATAGAGTAATTATGCTGCTATAAAATGCAACCCTAGGAAAACATAAATAGCCACAAAGTTATAAGCGGTATGGCTTGAAAATATCCGGACCTGCGACGAAATAAGGCAAGGATGTTTACATTTCTTCACGATATCGCAAAGCCTCTCGCCGAAATCAGCAAAATGCGTTTGCAGCCTCTTTGACCGACAAAGATCATCCTCAGGCTACTAGCTGCAAACCTATCTACCTCGGCAAACCAGTTATCTGCAACTTCTGTTCTCATTCAGCAAAACCAGCATGGTGATTACAAACAAAATGATATGGCAAGCTTTGCAGAAACGTTGTACAAGGCGCCGACGAAATCTTTTTTTTTTTTGAGTGTAGATTTTTTAATTCATTCAGAACAGTAAGCGAACACATGTATGGCAGTTTTGATTAGAGGTGTGATATGTAAAAGTTTTTTTTTTCTTTTTGGGGACAAAGACAAAGAAAAGTCTTAAGCTGCGAAATTTACCTTCGAAGATTTCGACCTTGTTTCTTTCACGGAGGAGCGCTTGTCCTTTTCTGAACTGCGACCAAGTCAGCAACCGTTAAACAGAATTTTCAGGTAAACTTACATTTTACGCATTATGCTCAAGGAAAGTACGATGATGAAAGGAAATTTATGTATTTGTAAATGTTTCATAGACGTTTTATATATTTTTGAAAGAGTTTTCAAGAAAAATTGGGAAATGCGTCCGATCGGAGACAGATAATTTTAGTGTTAATTTTTGCCATGTGCTCAGCCGATTTTACTTGTGGAAACGGATCCTGACGATCCAGTCAATGTGTACGTGAATTGCTTTTAACGGTAAACTTACGGATTTTCGAGTAAAAAATTTTCAAGAAACAATTTGTCTGTTTATTGTTTTCTGTTTGTTCATTCATAACATTAGTTGAAAACATGATCGCCGCATCTAAGTCTTTAATATTAACTTGCGTTTCATCCTTCTTATTCAGTGTCTTATTACTCGCATCACTTCTGCGAAGATGTCAGGGAATTTTATACAATTTATACTTTCCAGTTCAGCAACTAGTGAATTTTTTTTGAAAATATGTGTTACTAGTTTAAATATTGCACATAGATAGTAACTGATTTTTTAAAGGTTATTTGCGCTGACTTGGTCAGGCAAAAATCGTCAGTTGAAGTAACAACTTTGAGAAATCGCTTCTGTTTTACTACGGTGCATGTCATTGGTAGTCGACTTTGTCTTGTTAGGAGGAATTAACTCAGTCTTGGTCGATTTGGGGATTAATACTGTATTCCGTTTTTTGTCAAATATCACCACGTAAAACAGTAAATGCTTTTTGCACCGCATCATTTACATCGCGATACAAGTTTTCCTCTAGAGCACTCGCACGACAATCTCGTTTATCAGTAATTCCATATTAGGAAGTAAATTTTGATTGGTTCCCTAAAAAACCCGAGCATTGCGACAAAGTTATACGCTTCGGGGTTATATGCTTCCGGTGCTATTGAATCGTCCTTGGAACAGCTCGTCCCAGATAGTTTGGTCTAGCCCTGACTCGGTTCCAGACGTCTCTCTCTCGATGTAAATTTGCGCACAAACAAAGGAGGGAAGAAGAAAAAGACAAGATTTGGCAGGCGTTTCGCCTCTCCTTTTTCTCCTTTCTTGGGTCCCTCGCGCCTCGTTACCAATCCCTCGCTTTTCGTGCTGGCCTTTGTTCCCGACCAAAGTGCGAAAAAGGACGCGCCTGAGGAGGAGGCAGGTGTAGCCCAAAACGCGCTTAGTTTAACAGTCTCTGTCCTTATTTCTGCAATGTTAGATCCAAACATCATGAACAAAAGTGGTCGCATTCTGGTAACAGCTGAGTTGGAGACTTTGGAGGTTAGTCTTTGTTGTTGTTGTTGTTTTGCTTTTTTGCTTTTCGCTACTCTGTATACAAACAGCAAATATGGCACGCGCCTTGCCATATATGGATCCCTTTACAGTTACTCTTACGGGTTCGCATAGCCGGCTTAACAGTTATTGATTGCGAGTAGGAGCGTGTCCTTAAGGGCGATACCTCGATACCATCTAGGTACCAAGATCCGAAGGACCAACCTGAACTGTTTTTTGATGGATATAAAGCTTAACGTGAAAGTAACTGCTGAGTGACGCTTTCGCTAACACTGATGGCTTTAAATCATGTAAAACAGAGATGAATTGTTTGTCCGTTTGTTTTAAAATTAGAACGATCAGGGACCCGTTTTCGTCTTTATAATTTGGTCTTTAATGCCATAAGAAGTTGGCGAAAGCAGTTTTAAACTGCGAGGGGTTTTTTAATGGATCTTATCGACCTTGGAAGCGTATTTCAAGAATTCACCCTATCGTAAGAAAAAAGAACTGAATTTCTTTTCGTTCTCACAAGGGTTAAACTTGGAAAGTCCGTAGTTCTAACCCCATCAGACGTATTAATTAATGCCCATTTTTCTCCCTAGGAGCCCAGCCATTGTCATTTCGGCAAGTCAAGAAACTTCTCTCGCTTCCATATCCTTCCGTGTCGTGGATGATCCCTGAGTTTGTTTATGTTCCGCGCTGGTTGCTGGCAGTGGGCAGTAATAAGTTTTAAGGACATGTTTATGTCAGAATGCATTTCATAGATTTATTTCCTGATTGTTCGCATTCTAAATCGTGAATATTTTTTTTGTTTGTTTCTTTGTTTTGGTATTCATGTTGCTCTTTACAAATTGGGACTACAAAAAAATGATTTTGCTCGTAGCCGGAGTAACCGGGAAAAAACAAACTAACTAACTAACAGGTACAGACTAGAAAAAGACAGTAAAATTTTACATGTCTATAGTACCAACAGACCGTGACCTCTATTCTAGCTAGTAAACAAACCCTGTTGAAGGAAGGACTTCTTGTGCGTTCGAAATATCGGTAAACCTCGAGTGGCTTTTGTCTTTGCTGTTTCGTTATTAACGTTTATACCCTCTTGGAGGATATAGTGTACGGTAAAGTATCGCCGTGCGCAGCAAGCTTAGCGTGTTGTCTGAGGAGGGAGGGGCGATATTGTCTCCTTCGTTAGCCACCTTCTCTCTAGACTGCCCTAGTTCATTTCGTGCTTGAGAATTTATTCTTTTCCTTCTTTTTTTTCTTTTTGTTCCGGCATTCTCAGCGGGTCGATGAGAATGAATGTTTTTGTAGCTTTGAAATTCGTCATTCGTGGATTGTACTTCGTGGAAAAGGAAATTTATTTCTGAAAGAAATAAATGGTTTTATGCTTAATGTGCCTGATTAATGTGTCATTTCTCCAGTTACTGGGGAGGGGGCGTTCCTGCCATCCGGGACATTATATATTGTGTTTTTAAGACATGAAAGCGAGGCACAAGGCCTCTCTGCTCACTGCAACAAGAACGTCTTGTGGCTAAATTTATCCCAAACTGGAATTGTCATTATTGTGTATCCCAGCAAACAGAGCTCACCCAAAGCAAGACTCCACCAACAGCAATGACTGACTCAATAATACTATCTAAAGGAACATAGAGCATAAATGGCCGGTATACAAGACATTTGAAAAATTTTTTATCGTAAATTTAAAAAAAAACAGCAACAATTTTCCAAGATTTTTTTTCTTTGGTATGGAGTGTATAAGGAACGTAATGAAAAATGACGAGATGTATTGAGCTAGAATTTTTTGTACTTATAAATTTACCAATTAAACGTTTAAAAAAAGGACTTACTTTACAGACGTTACAATGTTCTGTATTGTCGTTGTGGAACTCGTCAGACAGAAACATGCATGATCTGTCGAGTGGAACGCACATATCAATACCATAAATCCAGATTATTTTTTCTTGTCAAAACGCTCCCACCCAAATCAAAAGTCACTTCCTTGTTTGACCATCGCGTAAAGGAAACGTACAAGGCTCTTCTTCCTATGACACCCCGGTTTACACGTGCATGGTTTGCTTATACTTATGTTTGTGTTAATGCTATATGTTACCTAGCCCTTAGGGCTCATTATTCCACGCAGTTTTAGCGTTTCGCGTCACGTGGTCCGACCGAGTTGGCCTTTCGTCTCTGATACGTCACCGAAACTGTGCTTTTGAAAGACGCCGCACAAGAGATTGGAAATATCCAGTGGATAAGGCGATTGATTTTACTTATCCAATGGATAGCGGTTTATCGGGTGGATCCAACAGTGTCCAACTGTGGCCAGGACCATGAGATTTTTAAATGAATCCGTAGGTTTGTCTGTCTGAAATAATGAAAAGTCGACGACAGAATGGTAATATTCCAAAACCTATTTGCGGGCATTGTAGCCGCCTCACTGGTTCGTAAGAGACTGCTAACCCCTGAGTTTCGTTATTTTCTACGTTTAATGTGCTTAAGCTATTACTTTACTTTTCAGGTCGTATTCACCATTCACCATAATACACTTTGATTACGCCGCCTCCCCTGCACCCCTAGGCTCGATTACCAGCCGCTGTTCGAGAAAATGAGACCGCACTCATCCCCCTAAAGGTCTCTTCGGGGAGGATCAAAGACCGGACCCGGGAGACGGCGGAAATCGAGCCTACCGCCCCCCCCCCCCCAATAGACAATTGCATAACCATTGTTGTGGATTTTTCCTGCCTACTACAGTCGTCCTCAGAGAAATCGAAAAAACGGTCACTGAAAGTCTCCCCATCCTTCACCTAATTTCCTCATTATTTGTAATCCACATTTGTGAATAGATCTTTTCATGTGTGTAGGAACACCTCCAACTTCTTCTCATCGTTGTTGTCGCAAATATTCCCAGAAAGTGCGATTAATTTGACCACGATTAAAGTGCGTAAAATTTGTAGACTAACTACTACCGGTAAATTTTTTTGTAAAATGGACCGAAATTTTTCATCGTATCAGCCGGCCGCTGATTGGGTTTTTGGTTTTAATCTTTCTTCACTCTACCCCAGAAAATATCACGAAAGGTGAAATAAATACTTTAGAGGATTGCAGCTTGGGTTACAGGGTTCGCACATGAAAAATGAATTTGTCCTTGCGTTGTCAAACTTGCTATGTCACGTCCTACATGCAAGCCTATGTGAAGTGGACTTTGCCGTGTTTTGCTGTTTTTGTTTCTCGTCTTCGGAGAAAAAAGACGTAATTTTTGAAGAGAGTCGAGGTAAGTCCATACTTTTTCCTTTTCTAGCTTCTTGCGAGCGTTAGTATACATGACTGAGTAAAAACTAAAATTACCCGTCTTGAAAACAGCGTTTACTTTAAAAGTTCAGAATCCAAAATAGGCTTAAGCGTACTTTTTCTTTTTATTTGGGCGTGGCCCAAATAGAGTAATGGAAACGGCTTGTTTTGACGCAAATGTGCAATAGGCACGCAATACGTGCTAACGTAAACAAGGCAAATAAACAAGCGAAGCGAGGCGAATGTCTGTCATGCGAACGTCTTGCACACGGTAAGAGGCATGTGGGAAAGAAAGCTCTGCTTGCACACGGCACTTAATCGCACTTTTACGATCTCAAAATTTAATCTGAATCTTCAGTATTTTTGCCTCATAGAAATTTGGAAGTCTGAAGTCCAGGGATGAAATCTATCAAAAATATTTGGAATATTAACGTCGGGTTTGGTCACGATAAGATCACAAGCAACGAACCTTGAAACACAGAAACTCAAAAAACGGATCGAAATCCACCAATCACAAACCATAAACAATGACCTTTTGAACCCGTTGAAGAAAACTTTCGTTTCCTAAGAGGTCCGCTAAGATGATTGACGTCTGACATTTTTTTGACGAGAGGATCGAAATGCACCAATCATCGAAAGACAGTTTTAATTGCATGTTTCCTAAGAGGTCATCTGAATTTGCTCTTTTCTTTATTTTATGTCCATTTTTTGTGATTGGTCGATTTTGTTAGGTCGAGTGGATAATCCAATGAGGATCGTTTGATCCGAAATTTTTCGAAGCAGCAGTGAGAATCAGTTTGGATAACATTTGGCGGCGGCGTTTCGAGGAACGTGTTAATATATTGTTCAATCATGTTATTCCGGGTTAAACTTACGAATGCACACACTGTTCGCAGCAGGCCCGCACTAAAAAATAACACTGAGTGTTTTCGGAATGGGCTGGTCTGCGAACTCAAAGAAAAACAAGGGAAATTGTCAAGACATTCAATGACATCAAAGACTCATGGACCCCACAGACGTTATAACAAATCGGAATATCAGGAGTGTACGTGTAAAATTAGTTAGTCCATTGTATTTTCGGCATGACAAATTACCATAAAATCGAGATTGTAATTCGAAACTCGCGTTGTTTTCAAAATTTGCATAAATCGGGCGCTGCAAAGGAATATTTAGGTTACAAGCGCTTCGAAATACTGTACCTTAAGAACGGCTTAGCTTTTACTTGCTTTGCTATATCTTTCAAAACTATCGATCGATTCTAGCTCAAAAACTCGCAAAGCAGCGGTTTAAATGTTAAAGCCCGTGGCATGGTTGAAATCGTCTCTTGTTTGTTTTCAAACGATTTAGGATGGATCGAATCGACTTTGGATCGATTATTATTTTATCAGCTTCTGGTGTGAACGAAACGTTTTTCTTCGCGATAAAGTTCACTCAACAAATTTAGAAAGATTTACTTGACTTTTCATATGTAAAACGAACTGACATTTTTGTGGAACGAACTGACTATTTTATGGAACGATCTGACTATTGATTGGAACGATCTGACCATGGAACGAAATGACCGGTTACCGTCATGCCCCTAGCAGACTACCAATGAACAAATTAAAAAACACGGAAAGTGACACTTTTTGTATGGAAGAGTATTCGGAAAAATACACCATTGTCGTCTGAAATTCATTGTTACGTTAAAAGTACAAAAGGTTCACACTTAAACAGGTACAGAAGTAACTGTAACAGTGTGGGGTTTTTACTTAAGGGGCAACTCCAAAACTAGTTCGTAAACGAGGGAAGGTGTATCTGTCGTCCAAGCATCAGAGCACAGGCGATTTAGGTGGAATGAGATATCCAAATAGGCTTCTAAGTAAGAATTTGCCCCTCTGTACATGTAATTATCCATTTTATACTGCTTAAAAACAGTTTGAATCACCAAGTTAATTTTGGCCAATTTAAGCTTTGTACTGATATAGAGAAGAATCCAGGACCTTCAGTTTATGTAGATGCTGCAAAAACAGTTAATGCTCCATACTGTCAAGGAAATGTTACAGGATTTGGGGAAAATGGTGGACAACGATGTGTCGCAATGAGTCTGTGCACTTTAATTTACAGTAAGATAACAAAGATTACTTCAGTTGATGATATGACTCAAATAATGATTTTTGGTATTCAATTATATTCTTGTCTGTCACTGCTTGCAAGACAATCTATCTCAATGTTAACAGAATTGCCAGGAATGGTTACGGTGTTTGAGCAATTTTTCCACCTTGAATACAGTGACAGTCATACTTGTAACATCCATCACTACTGTATATGCCACTCACAGGTTACGGCATTTGAAACACTCTTGGCACTGAACTACAACTCATTCATTTTAATGGTGGTAATTATTGGTGCTGGTATCTACAGCACTGAGGCTGGGGGATATAATGTATTCGATTCTCATGCTAG